GACTAATTAAACTGATGGTTGAAACTGTATGTTAAAAACTGGTCTTGATTAATTGAACTGATGGTTGAAACTGTATGTTTAAGACTGGACTTGACTAATTAAACTGATGGTTGAAACTGTATGTTTAAAACTGGTCTTGATTAATTGAACTGATGGTTAAAACTGTATGTTTAAAACTGGTCTTGACTAATTAAACTGATGGTTGAAACTGTATGTTTAAAACTGGTCTTGACTAATTGAACTGATGGTTAAAACTGTATGTTTAAAACTGGTCTTGATTAATTGAACTGATGGTTGAAACTGTATGTTTAAAACTGGTCTTGACTAATTAAACTGATGGTTGAAACTGTATGTTTAAAACTGGTCTTGATTAATTGAACTGATGGTTAAAACTGTATGTTTAAAACTGTTCTTGACTAATTAAACTGATGGTTGAAACTGTATGTTTAAAACTAATCTTGACTAATTAAACTGATGGTTGAAACTGTATGTTTAAAACTGGTCTTGACCAATTAAACTGATGGTTGAAACTGTATGTTTAAAACTGGTCTTGACCAATTAAACTGATGGTTGAAACTGAATGTTTAAAACTTTTCTTGCTACACCATTAGATTAAACATGTGTTTGAAAGTGTATGTTTAAACCTGCTCTTGGCTCATCCATTATATTTGTGTTCTGTACACGTTTACATTAAGCTGTAATGCGTTGTTGACATATATTTGTGTTATTTACATGTTTACAGTAAGTTATAATACGTTGTTGACATACATTTTGTGTTATTTACATGTTTACAGTAAGGTATAATATGTTGTTGACATTGTTTGTGAAATTACTGTTGACTTGTATGCAGTATTTGGGTTGTTCTTCTCAAACAGTTTGTGTTTCCGATTTATGTTTCAACATGGAACCTCATTATTTAACAAGAATAGTAGAATAATTTAATGACATAATTTTTTAACAAGAATAGTAGAATCATTTAATGACATCATTTTAAACAAGAATAGTGAAATAATTTAATGACATCATTTTTAACAAGAATAGTAGAATGATTTAATGACATCATTTTTTAACAAAAATAGTAGAATAAGTTAATGACATCATTTTTAACAAGATTAAATTATTCTACTATTGACATCATTTTTAACAAGAATAGTAGAATAATTTAATGACTCATTTTAAACAAGAATAGTAGAATAATTTAATGACTCATTTTTAACAAGAATAGTAGAATAATTTAATGACATAATTTTTTAACAAGAATAGTAGAATCATTTAATGACATCATTTTAAACAAGAATAGTAAAATAATTCAATGACATCATTTTTAACAAGAATAGTAGAATAATTTAATGACATCATTTTTTAACAAGAATAGTAGAATAAGTTAATGACATCATTTTTAACAAGAATAGTAGAATAATTTAATGACAATTTTTTAACAAGAATAGTAGAATAATTTAATGACATAATTTTTAAACAATAATAGTAGAATCATTTAATGGCATAATTTTTTAACAAGAATAGTAGAATAATTTAATGACATCATTTTTAACAAGAATAGTAGAATAATTTAATGACATCATTTTTAACAAGAATAGTAGAATAATTTAATGACATCATTTTT